TCTCCTGCCTCAGCCTCCCAAGTAGCTGGGACTACAGGTGCCTGCCACCACGCGTGGCTAATTTTTTGTATTTTTAGTAGAGACGGGGTTTCACCGTGTTAGCCAGGATGGTCTCAATCTCCTGACCTCGTGATCCACCCACCTCAGCCTCCCAAAGTGCTGGGATTACAGGCGTGAGCCACCGTGCCCAGCCTGGATATCTGGTTTTAACTAGACTGAAGGGAAGAACATTATGAATCTTTAAAATACAGCTATTGCCATTTTGCTTTCTTCTTAACATGCAGCATAGGTGACAAGCTTTTCTGTCATGATCGTGGAGCATTCTGAATTGTGACGTTTTTGTTTGAGAGTTCATTCTTGAATTTTCAGTTCAAAATGTTGTTTGAGCTATTATTCCACATTCAAAGATTATATAAGGTCCTGTGCTTTTGAATCTTTTTCAAAAAATTTCTGCCTGCTCAAAAAACTACTTTTATTTTCCCACAGAGAGTTCAGGACTTCAGATTAGTTTGTGTTCAGCTCACTTAACTGGACAGACAGTTTTGCGTTTTGCAACACCATCCTGTAGGTTTTCTTTACTACTCAAAGTATAGGTCTTTTTAAAAATTTTTAATCTTCGTTTTTATTATTATTATTTTTTTGAGATGGAGTCTTACTCTGTTGTCCAGGCTGGAGTGCGGTAGTGCGATCTCTACTCACTGCAACCTCTGTTGCCCGGGTTCAAGTGATTCTCCTACCTGAGTCTCCCAAGTAGCTGGGATTACAGGTGCCTGCCACCGTGCCTGGCTGATTTTTGTAGTTTTAGTAGAAACAGGGTTTCACCACCTTGGCCAGGCTGGTCTTGAGCTCCTGACCTCATGATCCACCCACCTTGGCCTCTCAAAGTGCTGGGATTACAGCCATGAACCACTGTGACTGGCCAAGTCTTTTTTTTTTTTTTTTTAAAGAGTCTATCCATCCTAGGCTTGGTACAGATGGCCCCTGTGGTAAATCTGTGTTAACATGGTGGTAGACCATGGAGAGTGGGTAGATGGAGCTTCTAGACTCCAAAACAACAAAACCACAGTGTGAGTACACCGTCCCATTAGGTTGACTGAAGTCTGAGTACATTTTCTGGCCTGTGTGCTGTGACTCATCCAACCTGTGAACTGATTGTGATCTGCTTGGTAACTTGGTTTGGTGTAACCTGCTCTTAACCCTTTGCTGATGAAGAAAATAATCATATAAGTGGAACTATTTGCATCTATGTGTGCTTCTTTTTTTATGTTGTCATCACTCACTCCTTCCCCTGTCCTATTTTGGAGGCTCTCAATGGATCTTCTAACTTATAAATGTCAAATATATTTTTGTATTAGATTGTGCCTATGATGAGAGAAATCTCTAATGTATATTTTATGTATGCTGAACACTTTTATAATTTGACACACTTGGAGGCATGGTCTAGTAATAATAATGTAATATGTACCTTGCTGGTTAATATAACTAAGATTTTACCTTTACTGGGTTAGGTATCTTTATTTTAGCACCTGACAACTGTCTTCTACTGAGTAAAGAATTATAACTTTTAGATGTCACAGAAAATTAGAGTATTTATTGTCACATATTGTGTAAGTCAGTTATTTCTGAATTCGCACTTTTCTGTCTCTGCCAACTAAAGTTAAAGGACAAGTCATATCTGATTTTTAAAATGAGCACATATGCATGCATGCATACATGCACACACACACCTTTGCTGTATAAACTTTTCCAGTGGATTTCTTCCTTAAGCAAATCATGCTGGCAAGTATTCAAATATGGTTTTACACTATGAAGATACACATTCACAAAATCATGATGTACTGTTTTGGTTTCTGCGGATGGTATATTTTGTAGAAAGAAAATTGTTAAATCAAGATCATCCAAGAAGATATATATAGTCGGGGCAGATTCTTTAGAAGCTAGAAGAGGAAATGCAGAAAGAGAAAAGGATAAGGGGAGCAAGAGAAAGTTGGTCCATAACAGATACGCTCCTTTTTCAGTAAAGTATGCAGAGCACAATTTAACTGGCTTTCTTGTGAAAGCGAGCAAGGGGGCTGAGCTCTATCACCTAGTTGACTTGGGTATGAAATAGAAGCAACACACTTGAAACCCAGGTGACCTCAGCCAGGCGCGGTGGCTTACGCCTGTAATCCCAACACTTTGGGAGGCTGAGGCAGGCGGATCACGAGGTCAGGAGATCGAGACTGTCCTGGCTAACACAGTGAAACCCCATCTCTACTAAAAATACAAAAAAATTAGCTGGGCATGGTGGCAGGCGCCTGTAGTCCCAGCTACTTGGGAGGCTGAGGCAGGAGAATGGCGTGAATCTGGGAGGCGGAGCTTGCAGTGAGCCTAGATTGCGCCACTGCACTCCAGCCTGGGGGACAGACCGAGACTCCATCTCAAAAAAAAAAAAAACCCAAAGAAACCCAGGTGACCTCTATGTAATGCCTAATTCCTCCTCCTAGAGGCCAGTGGTTGTCAATTTTCGTGTTTTACGAAGAGATTCTGATTCGATAGGTTCTAGGTAGGGCTTGGGAAGGCATTTTTAACAAGCTCCTGGGACGATTTCTTACGCAGGTGATGTGGATTAGAGAAACATTGCCCTATTCCGCTTTTGTTAAGGATTTAGTAAATCTGGGAGAAGAGTTAAACACAAGCAGAATTATATAGCAAGGATAAGTCATAAAGCATACATCATGGGATCACTGAGAGAATGCTGCTAACCCACTGGCTTCCTAAAGTAGATTTCTGAGATGGGTTATAAAGGATAAGCAGGATGCAGTCCGGTGAAAACACTTGCTGGGGCAGGATTCAAGGCCTTGGACCTAATGAGCAAAAGCACAGAGGTGACAAACCTCATGTGTGTTCAAGACTCTGGAGCGTCAAGTGGGGATCACATGGTGATCGATGAAATAGGAGAGGTATGTAGAGACCACACCCACAACCATGGAAGGATTTCGGGTGTGGCAGAGGGGCAGTAGAAAAGAAGGTAGATTTGCGTTTTAAATCACTGTTGACCAAAAAATAACATACCGGTGACTGAAAGGGAGATGAACAGAAGGCCAAGATTGTGAAACCACATGAAATCATTAAGAGTTCAAGAAATCAAAGCAGCCGATGGGCAGTGGTTTGAAAATTCTTGGTTAGATGTTTTCATTGTAACAATTTGCATTTCAGAATGACTCAGCCAAGCAGTCATTGAAGAAAGGAAGAGAGTAAAATCTTGTTTTTTGAGTTACAGATATTTCCGCATACCTTACACCGAATAGATGTTTGAGATGACCCACCGAGGTTAGTTTTAAAAACCATAAATGTCTCCAATTCCAAAAGACACCACAGATGAGGTCTTAGTGTTTGTACTTAGGATTTTCAGTAGCTCATTCATTATGTCTCTGACAGCTACATGTGTTATAAACCAAGCTATCAGAAATCATGACAGCCTCATCTTACTTTTATTTACATTACCAAAGTGGTGCTGGAGGTCAGTGACGAAGGATGAAAAATACCTGCAGAGCCACCAACACACTCAGTCTAAAAGCCTTTCTCCTTTTTTTTTTTTTTTTTTGTGAGACGGAGTCTTGCTATTTCTCCCTTTTTAAATATGTAATCTTCCCGAGAAGAGGGAGTTTGCCTGGCACTCAGTACTACTTATTAAGTGGATTAATGAATGGCACTAGATAATGCTGACTGAGGCCTTAACATTGCCTTTTATTGCAAAGTGCTCTGGAAGCCCTATTTTTTTCTGAATTAAAAAACAGGGTTTTGTTTTTGTTTTTTTGTGGGTTTTTTTGGGCAGGGTTGGGAAAGGGGGTTGGTTGTTTTTGTTTTGTTTTGTTTTGCTTTTGGTCAGATATCTGCCCTGGCAATGCTCTTTGGTTTAAAGTAGTTGCTTTTTAAACATTTGAAGATGGATCAAAATGAAGGCTGCTTGTAGTCTGATAATCATGATTATGGTGTTATTTGGAGCCCAGCCCAAATACCTGAGCCTAAATGAGTGAAAGAGCAAACTGTGGGCGTTTTTGTTTGTTTGTTTTGTTTTTTTGAGACGGAGTCTCGCTCGGTAGCCCAGGCTGGAGTGCAGTGGCGCAATCTGGGTTTACTGCAACTTGCGCCTCCCAGGTTCAAGCAATTCTCTGCCTCAGCCTCCAGAGGAGCTGGGATTACAGGCGCCCGCCACCATGCCCGGCTAATTTTTTGTATTTTTAGTAGAAACAGGGTTTCACCATCTTGGCCAGGCTGGTCTTGAACTCCTGACCTCGTGATCCACCCGCCTCGGCCTCCCAAAGTGCTGGGATTGCAGGCGTAAGCCACCGCACCTGGCAAAGTGGGCGTTTTTAAATGAAGCGGTATTCCTTTAGTTTGGAAAAATTGAGCTGAAGTTACACACAGTCACTCCTTGACTTGTTTTTGACGGTGGGCTTTGTAGGGATAGTTGGTGTCTGATCTCAACTGTGGAGAAACAGAAGTTTCGGGATTCATGCTAAACTTCCATTCCACAGGCGAGTTTCACAAAAGAAAAAGTGCTGTGTTGCATACAATTATTCACTCTGAGTCTACAACGTGGCAGAAATTATTCCTAAAGGTGACCGAAGAGAGCTATAGTTTATGGGGCCAGGAGCAGTGTGTGGAATCGCGAGGTAGAGACATAACAGCACTGCCATAAATCTCTTTCTTTCTTTCCAAATGAGCTCTAATTTTAGGCCCAACGACCACAGACGGAGAGGCAGTCGCTTTGAGCTACTCCTGGCCATTTGTTGGGAAATCACCTAAATAAGCTCAGGTGTAGCCAGAAGAGGGGAAACAAGCCTCTTTCGCCGGCCAAATTACGGCCTTTGTCGCTTTCGGCTCCCCATTGGCTGCAGCCGCTGTGGCCCCGCCTCCTTGCGTGCGTGCGGAGCTTTGTGATGCGGGGCTTCGTGACGCACGCCCTGATGCCTCCGGGGCTATAAAAACGCTCGCAAGCGTCAAACCTCAGGAGCCGCCGGCAAGGGGGCAACGAGGAAGCTCTAAAGAGCGCAGCCGGAAAGCAGGTGGGGAGAGTCTGGAGAAAAGGCGCACCCTGGGGCCTCGGAGACAGTTATGCCTCAGGGAGTCTCTCGAAATGGGAGAGGTCGTCGGAGCCTCAGGTGTCGGGGAAGGCGGAGGGTCCTCAGAGTTGGGGGGGACCTGTGGGGCGGCCCCGGCCCACACCGGGGAGTGCGGCGACTAGACGGCCAGCTGCCGAATCTGGGGCCTCGGTGGGTCCGTCGCCCGCCTCTCCTGAACAAGTCCAGGCGAAGTGAGCACGCCCAGCCTCCTACATTTCACTCCCCTCTCCCAAACAGACCTAGCGCAAAGCGAGCACTGACACAGCGGGGGCCACACACCGGAGGCTCTTCAGGGAGAGATGGGGGAGTGCGGTTACCTACGGCTCCGAAGTCCCTGCTGGCATGCTGAAAGGCATCATGTTTCTTGATTAAGACGTTACCCTTGTGGTAGTGGGCGCATGGACGTTTACAGTTGGGCGGGGCAGGGTTTAAATTCTGCCAGTGTTGGACCAGTATTGGTGATAGGAGGGATCTGGGGAGAATTATTAAGCTGTCGCTTTTAAATAACCCTAATAATGTTTGTGACTATTTTACCCGTTGACCTTCATCAGCTTGCTCAGGACAGTTCTTTGTGGGGAACTGAACTGTAGGACGTTTAGCGTCCCTGGCCCCATACGTTCCCAAAGTCGGGGTGAGAACTAGTGGGACGGGGGATCATGGAGTGCATGGCCGCTGTCCCCACCTTTGGTAGCAGCAACTGCTAACTGCCTCTTGAAAGGTTGTTGGCGCCATCATGGTTTCTGGGAGCCCCCACCATTTTTTTTTTTTTTTTTTTTTTTTGAGTGTTTCGCTCTGTCGCCCAGGCTGGAGTGCAGTGGTGCGATCTCTGCTCACTGTCAGCTCCGCCTCCCGGGTTCCCGCCATTCTCCTGCCTCAGCCTCCCCAGTAGCTGGGACTACAGGCGCCCGCCACCACGCCCGGCTAATTTTTTGTATGTTTAGTAGAGACGGGGTTTCACGGTGTTAGCGAGGATGGTCTCGATCTCCTGACCTCGTGATCCGCCCGCCTCGGCCTCCCAAAGTGCCGGTATTACAGGCGTGAGCCACCGCGCCCAGCCTCTGGGAGCCACTTTCAAAACGGTCTATCTACTCACCTTGGGTACTTAAAATTAGACATACGATATGTATGAGTATGTATCAAATATATATATGTAACAAACAGTATATATGTATATGTCATTGCTGCCTATGCTCCTTAGCATTTAGCATATGGGACTGCCGAATCCCCACTTATTTTTTTTTTAAATTCTTTTTCTGTGAGTACATAGTAGGTGTATATATTTATGGGGTACATGAGATGTTTTGATTCAGACATACAATGTTAATCACATTATGGGGAATGGGGCATCTATCCCCTCAAACATTTATCCTTTGTGTTACAGTCCAGTTACACTCTTTTCGTTATTTTAAAATGTACATTAACTTATTGACCATAGTCACCCTGTTGTGCTTTCAAGTAGTAGGTTTTATTCATTTTTTATACCCATTAACCAGCCCCACTTCTCCCCATTTTCCACCCAGGCCCCCATTACCCTTCCCAGCTTCTGGTAACCATCCTTCTTTATGTCCATGGATTCAATTGTCCATTTTTAGCTCCCATAAATAAGAGACCATGCAATGTTTTCCTTTCTGTGCCTCACTTATTTAACATAATAATCTCCAGTTCCATCCATTTTGTTGCAAATGACAGGATCTCATTCTTTTTTAATGGCTGAATAGTACTCCATTGTATCTGTGTACCACATTGTCTTTATTCATCTGTTGATAGACACTTAGGTTGCTTCCAAATCTTACCTATTGTCAACAGTGCTGCAACAAACATGGGAGTGCAGATATCTCTTCTGTAGACTGATTTCCATTTGGGTATACACCCAGCAGTGGGATTGCTGGATCACTTCTGGTTTTTTAAAGATGGTTTAATTCAGTAAATCTGTTGAATGATGCTGTAAAAGGAAGTTTTCATTAAGGGATTCAATTATACTTAATTATATTCTGAAAGGATTTGCTTTGGCCAGTACAGATTCATTTTGTCCTGACCTTTGGGAAGATGAGATGTGCTTTTAAGTATTGAACATTTTGCTATGAGATATTAGTTACTTTATAATAGAAGCTGTGCCCTTCTATAATTAGACTATGCCACTTAACCCCATGAAACTCATTATTTATTGTAGGGATGTTGTTGAGGACATGGCTCATTATATCACACTATTTGCTTTATAAGGACTTGGGGGAGAAATTTCTCCTGGGTTTCAGTATCCGGAATAGCTGTGGTTCTCTCAAACAACTGATTTGTTTTTCACCTCAGGAAACCTGAATCACTTAACCACCTATCTCTTATTTTGTGATGGCTCCTTGGTAGCTCAGGGATCGATTTGATACCCATCTTTATCAAAGTGAAGGAGCTATGGCATGCATTGGAGTGCTAACTTTACCTGTAGCTTCACCCTGTTTTTCCTATCTTAGTTTTCCCCTCACCACTTTAGGGATTTTCTTATTTAATTTTGTTCTTTAGAAGCCTTAGATAATTTTTTAGGAGGAGTCAGAACACGTACACCCTGACATAGTTTTAGGTGGCAGCCTCTGCAACTCCGAGAATTACAGGTTGGTCTGTGCAATATCTCTGATACCACTTAAAAGCCAGAAAGGCAGAAGGGGAAACATAAGGGAAAATTTGGGAAGAGGGTAAGGGAGATATGAGAAAAGACAGGTACAAATGACGGTGGTATAACAATAGCACAAATAAATTATACCCACTCTGATTAATGTTAAAAACAAAGTTATTCCTACAGGTATGAAGCAGGCTGAAAAAACCCCCAAAATTTAAAGCTAAAAAATGCACACTTAAACATGAGCAACGGTCGGGCGTGGTGGCTCATGCCTGTAATCCCAACACTTTGGGAGGCTGCGGGTAGATCACAAGGTCAGGAGTTCAAGACCAGCCTGGCCAAGATGGTGAAACCCCATCTCTACTAAAAATACAAAAATTAGCCGGGTGTGGTGGCAGGTACCTGTAATCCCAGCTACTCCGGAGGCTGAGGCAGAGAATTGCTTGAACCCAAGAGACGGAGGTTGCAGTGAGCTGAGATCACACCACTGCACTCCAGCCTGGGTGACAGTGAGACTCTGTCTCAGAAAAGCAACGTGTGAGAATATATTTAGAAAAATAAGGAAAAACATCTTCTTACAGAAAAAAAAACTATCTTGTAACTGTTTGATGCATATGTATACAGAAAGGCCAGTGCCTGTGTGGTTTGGAAGGACTTGTTTAGAAACAGATACATGAAATGTTAACTGCACAAAATACTCACTGAATTTTACAGAGGCAGGTTCTGTTTTTTGTTCTTTGTTTTTAATGTCCTCAGGGTCTTGGCGGGGCTTTTCCTATGGATTTCTATAATGGTACTAGATTGCTCATCTGCACATAGTAGGCTATTGTTAGTAGGGTTGTGTTATTTTTTAAACTACCATCAAGAATTAGCCCATTTTACTAAAATGAATACCTACATATTAGAACTAAAGCTGATAATTTTAATAGGAGATAGTTTATTATTGGAAACTATAGTTAACTCATAAGGACTATTTTAGTCACTTTGGGAGGCCCAGGCGGGCGGATCATGAGGTCAGGAGGTGGAGACCATCCTGGCTAACACGGTGAAACCCCGTCTCTACTAAAAAATACAAAAAATTATCCGGGTGTGGTGGCAGGCGCCTGTAGTCCCAGCTACTCAAGAGGGTGAGGCTGGAGAATCACTTGAACCCGGGAGGCAGAGGTTGCAGTGAGCTGAGATCATGCCACCGCACCCCAGCCTGAGCGACAGTGTCTCAAAAAAAAAAAAAGAAAAAAAACTATTTTAGTAAAACATTATTTATAAGACTTTGTTTTTCTTCATTCTAGTTGAGTTACAGACATCCTGCCAAAATGATTTCTTCAAAGCCCAGACTTGTCATACCCTATGGCCTCAAGACTCTGCTCGAGGGAATTAGTAGAGCTGTTCTCAAAACCAACCCATCAGACATCAACCAGTTTGCAGCAGCTTATTTTCAAGAACTTACTATGTACAGAGGTTTGTTATTTCCTTTATATATTTGCTGCTTTGAAAAAGAAAACATTTTAAGTTGGGAATTTTATGTATCTGTATTTGATTTCCTGTATTGATTCCTTCAGGGAATACTACTGTGGATATAAAAGATCTGGTTAAACAATTTCATCAGATTAAAGGTAAGTACCACAAGTAGTAATAGTTTTAATAATGATGTTTATTGATTATTGCATCATTACTAGCATATATTCAAACTTAAGAATGGTGCCCACAAATCATTTGATGTTTAATCACATTGGTCCTTTTTAAAATATACATATATATATATATTTTTTTTTTCCAGAGACATGCTCTGTCACCCAGGCTGTAGTGCAGTGGCACCATCATAGCTCACTGCAGCCTGGGCTCAAGGGATCCTCTTGTCCTAGCCTCCCAAGTAGCTTGGACTGCAGTTGTGACTCATCATGTCCAACTAATTTTTTATAAATTTTTGATAGTGATGGGGTCTTGCCGTGTTGCCCAGGCTGGACTTGAACTCCTGGATGCAAGTGATCCTCCTGGCACAACCTTCCAAAGTTCTGGGATTACAGGCATGAGGAGAATTGGATTTCATAGTAATAAAGACTCAAATTATGAGATTAAATACTTTGTTGGAAGGGTTTTTTTTTTTTTTCCTTTGCAATGGAGTCTCACTCTGTTGCCCAGGCTGGAGTGCAGTGGCGCGATCTCGGCTCACTGCAACCTCTGCCTTCCAGGTTCAAGAGATTCTCCTGCCTCAGCCTCCCAAGTAGTTGGGACTCCAGGCGCCCACCACCATGCCCGGCTAATTTTTGTATGTTTAGTAGAGATGGGGTTTCGCCATCTTGGCCAGGCTGGTCTCGAACTCCTGACCTCAGGTGATCTGCCTGCCTTGGCCTCCCAAAGTGCTGGGATTATAGGTATGAGCCACCGTGCTTAGCCGCTGTGTATGGTTTTTAGTGAGTCTTGGTATTTTTGGATTATTCCAGTGAAAGTGATGATGAGCAAGGAATCAGGATGGGAAAAGGTGACATGAGCAGAGGGCTATAGCATATAACGTCCAAACTGAGAATAAAATAAAAATTGGCAGCTAAGCCTTAGATGCTACACAGGACTAAAAGGAAGGAGATCTGCCAGTCCTTGAGTGAGATAAACAAGTTACACTTCCCACAAAATGGAAACATTTTAAGCAATGAATGCAGTGATGTCAGAGACCAGCACCCAGAGGGCAGGGCGTGATGGCTCATGCCTGTAATTCCAGCCTTTTGGAGGCCGAGGCGGGAGGAGGATCACTTGAGCCCAGGAATCCAAGACCAGCCTAGGCAAAACAGTGAGACCCCCATCTCTAAACAAACAAACAAAAGAAAACAAAAACACCCAGAGACCAGTTATGCCTCTACCAGGGGTAATGGAGAGCCAGCATAAAAGGACATGTGGATCAGAGACAGAGCTTACCCCAGCACTCAGGAGTTCAAGACCAGCCTAGGCAAAATAGTGAGACCCTGTCTCTAAACAAAAGAAAACAAAACAAAAACACCCAGAGACCAGTTATGTCTCCACCAGAGGTCATGGAGAGCCAGCATAAAAGGACGTGTGGATCAGAGACAGAGCTTACCCCAGACTCAGCTTACCCCTTTTTAGAAGGAGGAGAACCTTTAATAAAGGAGCAGTAGCCCAAAAGGCTCACTAATTAACCAAAAGACTTTTTGAAGGGACAGATTTTAAAACTAAGATGAAATTCTGCTATTGGGAAGTGAGCATTTTAATGCAAGATGAGATCAGTTAGAGAAAGTAATACTGTTCTGGCATATCTAAGTCACAGTGTGTAAATTTTGAGCCCTTTACAACAGCATGACATCCAAAGCTCTCTCTGATTTCAGTCTGTCCTACCTTTGCAATCATCTCATTTCATAGACCTCATGTGCCGTATATTTAAGACAATCTGTCATCTCCTGAAATGTGAAATTTCAAATCACTTGATTTGGGCTTATGTTTCTTCTCCCTCCAGGAGTTCCTTTCACTCCTTTTTCTACCTTTCAAATCTTACGTATCCTTGAAGTTCAATCCATAATTTCATTTAACAAATACTTAATTTCCTGACAATTTCCAGATGCTGTGCTAGGTGAAATTCAGCAGAGAGGGAGAGATTTTCATTTCAGCTATGACACAGAAGCCAGTATTGGACTTGTCCTCCTATCATAAACAGACATAAAAGCTGTATAAATTATATAAAATGAAGTCCAGTACCTAGATTCTTGGGAGAAAGGATTCCTAGAAATTCAGCCCATATTCACAGATGCTTTCTTCCTGAGGACACTTTCAAATTCTTATGCAGGGAAATACAGCCCAAGCAGTGAGTGAAATCTAGGGAGAGGTGACAGAGAAGCAGAATTTCAGTCTTTCAGTGTGGCTGGGATGTGAGTGACAGTACCAGAAAGGAGGCATTTTCAGAGAAGGACCTGCAAAAGTTTGCAAAAAAGAATTTCCCTTGGGTTTTTGTCCAGCTCCTAAGCTCCTCATGTTTGGAGTAAGGCTTGAGGAGGTTAAGCAGGAAACAGCTATTGGGAGACTGAAAGCTAAGTCGAGAGATCAGAACCGTTTAGTGTTGGGAGAGGCTTTGCAGGTTGGGCCCAGCCAAAAATAAGAGATTTTTGCGAAACCCTGGCAATTTAGTTGAGACCTCAGAAAGGTCATACACTATGAATAAAGTGTACTTTAAAGTATACGTAGTGCACTATCATACACTAGGAATAAAGGTCATACACTATGAATGCGCTAGGAGGAAGAACAAAGCTGAAGTATGCCCACTTTACCAGAATTTATAATCAAATCTCAAGAGGATCAGATTGATTTGCCATTAGAACAGAATCAGTACCATTTAGAAGAAAATAACAATCAGAGCCTCTACAATGTGTCATTTATAGTTTCCAGCATACAGTTAAAAACGACTAGACATTCAAAGAAGCAGGAAGAAGTGATTGATAAGGGCTAAAACATAACACACTCACTAGAAGCAGACCCAAAGAATATCCAGATACTGGAATTACTACATGAGGTGGATAGAAAATAACCATGATTGGTATTTTGAAAAGATGGAAAATAGATGAAAAGATGCAGAACTCCAACAGAATTAGAAACTACAAAATAAGAAACATTTATTCCATAACTGCAAACTATAAAATTATATGGCTTTATTAGAAGACAGAATTAGGAAACTAAAAAATGAGCCAACAGACAACAACCAAATCAAGGCAGATAACCACCAAATTAAGACAGAGAAAAATAGAAAAGAATGTAAGAAATGTATATGGAACATTGTCAAAAGGTCTGTGTCCATCTGTAGTCTCAGCTACTCAGGAGGCTGAGGCACGAGAATCGCTTGAACCTGGGAGGCAGAGGTTTCAGTGACCCGGTGACCCAAGATTGCACCACTGCACTAAAGCCTGGGTGACAGAGCAAGACTCTGTCTTTAAAAAAAAAAAAAAAAAGTCTATGTCATTGCAGTAAATGGAAAAGTAGTAGTATTTGAAAGCGTAATGGCTGAGAATTTTCCCACTCTGAAAGACAATAGTTTACAGATTTCAGAAGTCTAATGAACCCATGGCAGGATAAATACAAAGAAAATGACACACAGGTATATTACAGCTAAAGTGCTGAAAAAGACAAAATCTTAAGAGCAGGTGGAGGGGTAAAAGGGTTCATTACTTTTCAGGGGAACAATAATAAGACGAATAGGTGATTTCTTGATAGAAACCACAGAAGCCAAAAACAATGGAATGACATACAGTGACCTAGAATGCCAGCCTAGAATTGATATATACCTAGTGAATATATCCTTTAAAAAATGAATGCAAAATAAAGACATTCTCAGGCAGCAAAAACTGAGAAGAATGCATTGCCTGCTCTACAAGAAATGCTTTTAAAGAAGTTTATAAGCAGGGCTTGGTGGTTTATGTCTGCAATCCAAGCACTTTGGGAGGCTGAGGTAGGAGGATCACTTGAGGCCAGGAGTTTGAGACCAGCCTCAGCAACATGGTGAGGCCTTGTCTCTGCAGAAAATTTTTTAAAAATTAGCTGGGCATAGTGGCACACACCTGTAGTCCTGGATATTCAGGAGGCTGAAGCTGTGATCACACCATTGCACTTCAGCCTAGATGGCAGTGCAAAACCATGTCTCAAAAAAAAAAAAAAGCCTATAAGCAAGCAAGGAACACAAGGGAACTTCCTAAATCTAGGAATGGATACACAAAAACTTACAGACAACCCAATTGACCCATTATACCCAATGGGGAATACTGAATATCTTCCCCTCAAGATTGGGACCAGGACAAAGATCTCCAATATTACCATTTCTATTTAGCTTTGTACTGTAGGTTCTAATCAGTGCCATAAGGCAAACACATTTTTTTAAAAAAGGAAAGGCATATGAAGAAATAAAACTATTCAATAAAACATGTGACATGACTATGATGTAGGAAACCAAAAATAATCCTCCTCTTTTTAATCAGCTTTATTCTACAGAGGAGAGGGTATATGGGACCCACAGCCCAGATGTTTATGGGCAGAAGGTTTAAAAAAGTACAGATACATTATCTAGTAGTGTAAATCTTAAGATAATGAATTCAACAAGTACCCAGAGAGAAAATGGGTATTATGGAAGTCATAGAATAAAAAACAGGGTATCTAAAGAGCAGCATTTAATACAACCCCCCTCTAATTTATGCCTCGTATCAGTTAGGAAAGCTTTTGGTTGCAAGTAACAGCAAACCAATTAAGAGTGACTTTAAGAACAGATCTGAAAAGGTGTTCATTCTGCTCCTAATATACTTTAATAATAAGCATCACATATCTAGGCACTCTGCTGTGTCATTCTTAGAATGTTTTACATGTCCCCGCATGCTACTGCTCCAGGGGTTGTGCCTGTGTTTACATCAGGAAGGAGGAGAAAGTGGTGGCACTACTGATAAAATTTATGGTAAGAGAGATCAGAATTGTCCCATGCATTGCGGGACACCTAGCATCCTTGACCCTGGCTCCTAAAATACTAATGCCTCCCAGACATTGAAATAAATACAAATGTCCCCTCTACATCTATAAATACTCTCAGTGGAAGGGGGATACTACTATCCCTTGAGAACCAGTGTGCCTGGGGCTGGGTACA